AAAATAGAGGAATGAAATCATCTCAAGGCTAGTGGAGAGTATACAGCATTGTTGTATACAACAAATGTGGTATAATGCTATTACCTTGCTGTATTACAACTGAGGAATGCCATACCTAGACAATCTAGATTAAAATGTGGAGATAAATTCCAAAATGTTCTGAATCCAACCTAAAAACTTATCTTTAAGTCCAAAATATCTTTTGCCTATATCTCCCACAACAAAGCATATAGTATAGAGTGTAATATGAATAACAACAACAACAACAACAACATTATTATTATTATTATCATCATCATCATCATCATCATCATCATCATCATCATCATCATCATCATCATCATCATCATCATTATTATTGTTGTTGTTATTATTATTATTAAGCCTATCTTATTGATTTATTTTGTCTCATGCCTCACACTAATGTAAACAGTGTAGCTGTGCATGATAAGATAAATATGTGCTCTTTAACTTAATACATACAGGAAAAAATCCATTTTTGGGAAAACAGGGCTGGAGTACCTCACTATGTAGCACACTTTCCAGATTATAGCAGGGTGGGGGAAAACGTGTTCAAGAACACCAGCAGTTGGAGAGGGAGTGAAATGAGCAAAAGCTCTTGCTCAGAGAATTTTGGCTAATCTGGGCAGGAAGCCAAAAAGGAGGTGTAAAGACAAATAGTTTGGTTCAATGCAAATTGGAATTTTGATCTCAGTATGCATCTGTATTTCATCAGCAAAGATAAAGTATTATTTATGTCAGTATGCCAGATGTGAAAAGGGGTGCCATGCCCTTAAAGGAATGTCTAGGGAAACGAATAGCACAGGCTCCATGTGAAACTGCTTGGATGTGTGTAGTTCAGTATGATTCAGACGTCAATACTTCCAACTGCGCATGCACAGCTCTTCATCCTGTAGATTGCATTAAAAATAAATAGACAACAATGACTCAGGCCTTCTCTGACGTAACATTTGCCTCTACAGGAATGCTCCTGTTATTATTTCTGCAGAAGCACATATGCAAAAGAAAAAAAAATCTGGAGTTGAAATTGGCCATCCACACAAGATTTTCTAGGACAATCCTTCCCATGAGAAATCTCATGAGCAATAGCTATGAAGTGGTTTTTTTCCCTCCAAAAAGTTTGTGCCAAAGATCACCCCAGAAGAAGTCCCAGAACACTCCAGCACGCTATGCACAACTCCACAGATTAATTCAAAGGGCACTATAAAAAGGGAAATGTTACTTGTGAGCAAGTATGCATCCTTTCCAAATGCACCAAAATACAACCACAGCACAATAGCAACAAATGGTTGGACCTCAGACCATGTGCACTGCTCCAACTGAGGACAGACAGAACACTGTGAATTCACTTCTGTAACTAAGCTGCATGAAAAATTATTAATAACGCTACTCTATTAAAATGCAATCAAAGCAAAACTATCATGGAAATATCCTGAGGAAGAGATACAACAGACCCCATGCAACTGGCAGTAGAACATGGCAGCACAGATTGTCTTCTGACACAAAAGCAGGTTAACTTCTTTTCACTTAATCCATAGTTAGTAACAAAACCTTTCAGTTGAGACTTGTCCAGGTTCCTCTCAAATGTCTGTGAATGAAGCTTTGGCCAGAACATGTATTCACAACAAAGGAAGCCTCCAACATAAGCAAAGGAATCAATTTTCATCCATGCCTTGACTGAAAAGAAAAATACTCCACAGATTAAGAATATTTACTCTTGACTTCTGTTGCTTATCTGCATTTGTGATCTGGCAGGTAAGTATCCTCCCGATATGCTGTAATTTTTGAAAACCTTATTTTCCAGAACAATTAAATTGCACCACATCGAGCCTAAATGTCTTTATCAAACCTCTTCTATTATCACAAACATTTATTACTTTCTCTGTATAGGCTTGCTCCATTAATTAATACCAGACTCGAAGAAAACAGCATTTTTATTTCTGCTGTACAGAAATTGTTCTTACTTGCTACTGTTTAGAACCCAGAAATTCCAAGTATACAGTTAGTTACCAATAGGTTGCTGTGTGCAAATCAGTCATTAGTAACTAGAACACACAGCCCATAAATATGAGGCATAGTCTTTCATGGAACTAACCTCACACCAAATATTTGAGCTATTTTGTTTTTTTAGATAATTTATTCTTTATTTATTTATTTGTTCTATTTATAGGCCACTCTTACCACAACAAGGGGACTCAAGGTAGCTCACAGTGTTAAAAAAGTAGAATTAAAAACACAGTAAGTTCTACATTAAAAACAAGTAAACCATAGTAGCAATTAAAATGTACTGAATTTGTAAAAACATTTAAAACTTTAAAAACTCAACTAAAGTGAGCATTCATAATAATAAGCCCTGTAATCTATTTATACAATAAATGGGCTGAAACTATCTCACATAACAATTTGAAACTTCTGTAACCAGTAGATTGCAACAAGTGAGTGAAACAAAGCAAATTAACACAATTCTAAGCAAACAGCTGAGAACAAGCTGGTGCTCCTAATATTTGCACCAATCGAGTGGTGTGCAATGAGCTGCAGAAATGGTTAGGGGATCTTTATGAAGGATCAGAGTGTGAGGCTCCCAAGTTGGAAGCCATGGTAGGAGTGCCGCTGCTCCCGAAGAGTAACAGCCAGACACAGACCTCCCCCCCACCATCCCCACCGCGACGGGAAGAGAAAGGAGTGGAGACCCCCGAGTGGGGGAAGGAATGCGACGGAACCCTTACCTTAAGCAAGGGGGTGGATACCCATGACCTAGAGGAGGTTATGAAAGGGTTAAAGATCACCCGCGAACCGGGACAAGTTCAGGCGGGAAAAAGAGGGGAGGAGATTGAGGCAGGCATGGGGATATAAGGGGGAGAGGAAGGGACATTCCGGGCAGTTGGGGGGGGGTGTGGATGGAGGATCCCTGGACCCACAAGTGGGAACAGGTCCGGGTCCCCCATGAAGAAGCAGAAAGACGCCGGCAACTAGGACTAAAACCTCGACCGTCCTACTGGGGAGAGACCGAGGCCAAGGAGTGGAGGAGGAAGCTACGAGAGGAGAGAGAGGCGGTCGCTAGAGAATTGGAGAGGAAAAGACAATGGCACATCGCCGAATTGAGGAAGCTGGGGGGGTTACCCGGCCCTTGGGGTGCAGAAGGAGGAGAGGGATCCTCCTGGGATGGCTGGAGCGGAGATGAGGAAACCTTACCCTTGCTCTCCTTGGAAGAAGAGTTGGACCCTGGACTGGGACCTGTGCCACCCTCAACAGGTCCCTGGAATCCAGAGACTACGAATCCTTTTGTACATAGTTTATGGACACCCTTAAAACCTAACCAAGGTCTCCAGACTTCCCTAAACCCCTTCATGGGGGGTATACCTGTTGATGTTAATGTCGAAATAAATACAACTCCGTTTGACGTTCCTTCTATGCCTCGTCTGTTTATTGAAGAGAAGACAGCCCACCACAACGAACCCTCACACAGAGCTGACCTCTGATGCCACAATGGCACATCTTTTTTCTCAAGAACTACTCAGTCCCACAGTCTAGTGTGGTTCTGGCAGCCACCATCACTTCGTTCTTGCAGTTCCATTTGAACTAACATCAGTCACGTTTTGACCAAACACCATAATTAAGTAGTGATCCCATCATCGAGTCACTATTATTCATGTCCAATGTATCTCCTGGGATAAGCAGGAATAGCTGATGCGAGAATTCCCCATGATATGTGATGCAAGAGGGATGCTGGTTGCCTCTCTCACGCCCCTAGACTGTCAGCACAGCCATTAGGCACACAGGTTTACTAAGAGCAATAATTCTTCCCTCCCGCACATATAAACTGTTTTAGACTGAATTCTGGCACAAAGTTTTGTCCCTGGAGGTTATTAAACAATCCATTCAGCTGTTTTGCTCCCACTGCTTCAGCTCCTATTTACATAATGGTAGTATCCGTTTTTAACTGAAGAAAACCCAACATAAAACTCTAGATTTGCATAAGAGTGTGGTGGGGACAGCAGCCTTAAAATTAAACAAAGACTCCCAGAGGTGTTCAACAATTCTATGCTTAATCTCCATTTTGGTTATGCTTGATGCAAGAACTGACCAACTACCTGAGAAATTTAAAACATAGTATTAAGACATGTATCATTTTTTCTAGACATCCTCAGAGCCAGTAGATGGGAGTAGTACCACCCTTTTGCAGTCAGTGAGACATTCCTCTTTCCCTCAGCACTTTTAAAGGCTTCTGAAGCTACCGTTCTGAGTAATTTACAGAGCTGTACTTAATTGCCATCTTTGAAAGGAGGAGAACATATTCACTGGGAAAGGAAGAAGATGTGTACACCCAAAGATGTCTAACCCAAATAAAATTTGGCCTGGAACAGGGACTGGAAAAGTGTGGACACTTCTCTTTATGCAAGATGTAAAGTTTATGGCAGTGGTAAGTTTATGTTCTCAGATCCTCCTTTCCTTGAGACAACTAAGACCACTATATAAGTAATAAAATACACTGCCTCGCATATTTATCTAATTTTTTTTACTCTCTAGTCCTGCTGCTACTTGCAACAGGAAAACAGGTGTTAGATTATATCAAACAGAACCTGGATTATAATCTGAAGTTATACATTTTGTTGAATAACATCACTATTTGTAACTAAAATTTAAAAATGCAGATTACAGAATGCATTAGATACAAAATTATTTCCGTCTATTGTCTGAGTCTCACTCATTCATTTCTGTAAAGTAGTTTAAAAAAGAACTCCATTATGTTGAGCCAAGATTTCAGAGCACCTTACATTAGTCAGAGTTGGACCAGAGTGGAATTTTAACCATACATTAATAAAGAGTATCCAACTTTCTCCAATATACTGCATTAACAGGTGCACATGTTTCAAGCAGGTACACTAAACATGGCTAATAGAAGGCACCTCCATTTTTCTACATTGACAGATTCATGCCCATGAAAAATTATTCTGACGCAAGCTGCAATGCCATTTTACCTTGTCCTTTAATTCCAAAGGGTGGTACAAAGTCCCGGATCCTTGCCCATTTTTTGAAAGAATCATCCAAAAACATTGGTGCTGGCTTAGAGAACCTGAAAAATATAACGAGGAAGATTCTTTAAAAAGAGAAGATATTTCTTCAAGAAGGGTTTTAACTAACGGAAGACTGTAAATCATGTGACCTAAGAGGCACCAGTTACAGGAGAAAAATTAACAGAAAATGTATAGTGCAAACTGAAAGCTATGCTAATCTCACGACTGCTCTGAAAAAAATTACACTAGCAGCTATGGCAATTAAAGCTTAGAGTCCATAATGATAGCAGTCATATAAGCAGTTACTATTAAGATTCAGCAGACTGAAAATGTCCACCAACCAGTGAGCCTAGATTATACAGTATTCTTGTATAACATCTCACTTCACAAATTTCAGCAGTGTGGCAATCTCTCAAGTAAAATTTGAATGTACAATAGTAGACAACATAATATGCTATTCAGCTGGGTTAGCACAAGATGCAAACTAAATCTCATGCCACTTCTGAAATTGTTGCTGCTGAATTCAGTATGTTTGATAACTTAGAGCATGTGTAGTGAAGTGATGAGGAGAGTAAACCACGAATTAAGAACTCTCTGGTTCAAATTTTACCTGTTTTAAGGATTCACTAGATAGTTATAGACAAGTCACTTTTTCAGCTTCTAATCTACAAAATGTATATGTATAATGCTACATGCACATCCTAGCATATACAGTAAAGCCTTCAGCAAGATAAAGTATGTGAGCTGCTCTGAACACTGCAATCTACAATCTATATAAACACTGCAATCTGCAATCTACATAAACACAAATTATTTTATTGCAAACATCAGCCACAGCAGACTCGTTTAGAGTTTAATGGATTTGGAGGAAGATAAGGAAACAAGACACCAACAATAATCATTAGAGAAGAATAGGATAACAGTAAACAAACTTTGGACAGTGTACTTTGAAGGAAAATGCTCCCAGGAAGAGATGGAAGTATAAAAATAAAGCACAGACCAAGATTTGATGCATCACTACTGTGTATCTGTTCAATAACAATGATGCACATCCTCTCATCACACTCACGCTCCCCTTTGAGAACAACTGCCAAAGGATATATTCCTATAGGTGGATAGTAGGAAGTAGACATAAATACACACATGAAAGTAGACATACTCTGGGAAGTAGAGAAGCCAGAGATTCAATCAGAAACCTGTGCTTTTCAACAGAGTTAATAAATCATTTCAAATTAAAAAGCAAAGTTTAACCATTTGCTAGAGATATATGACCACAAAAAGAGTGACAAATTGCAAGTGACTAGAAGCTGTTGGGAATCCTTCTAGAGTAGGATTCAGACATGGGCACCAACACAAATGACTGTAATGCATTTGAAGTGAATTTTAATTCATCAAAGTTTACACCACAATAATTTTTTTTACATTTTTAATCTTGAAGTATTCATTTCATTTTATTCAGAAGGGATTGTAAGCATAGTGGTTTTGTTCATTTCAGGGCACAGAACTTTAAACATAGCAGTTGTAAGGATTTAAAAATATCGAATTTCACGAGTTTCAGAATCTACTCACAATCCTAGATTTTCTGCCAATTTAACTGGTTACAGAAGCTTGATCTTTCTTAGAATGGGCAAATGGTTTTCATTTCAATCATCTCATAACCATTTTCTAGGTTTTTTCGCATCCTGATAAATGCTCTGATTGGCCCTACCTGCCTAATCTCATCTAACCCCTTTCATAGCAAAACCTTATTAAACAGATATCCCCCTCCAGTTCTACTACAGTACACTCTTCTGTTTGGTTGTGTCAATGCTGAGTGATACCACAATAAATCTATCAATCTAAGTTGCCAGAGGGCCTGGTAGCCCTTTTTCATCTAGGGAAACCATAGCAAAAACAGGAAGAAAGTGTTGCTTTTTAGAAAGTAAATAGAAGTTGAAATTCAGTCCTATCAGAAAAATGGAGAAGTCACTCTGTAATGATTTATTTTTTCAAGACTTATTTCCCTTTTGAAGCACAGCATAGTAATATAATTTGATTTTTGTTGTCACTATTCCTGAACCGGCCTCTACATCTAAAATGGTCAACTGATTTTTAGAAAGTCATTCAAACTTTAGTATACCAGTTAAGGAGGATCAAAATATTTATAAAAATGGCCTCCCCAAGCTCATAAACAATACATACATATTCCAAAATCAGGTATCTAAAATAAATGCTCTCTCTCACGTATGCACACACAGAGACAGTTCATTTTGGCATATCAGATGTCAAATTCTATCAGATTTAACCACAATTAGGATTAACATGATGCCTACTAAAGCACCATAACAGTAAGAGATTTTCCTATAAAATGGCTAGTAGAAACAGAAAACATGACAAGTACACTTTTGCTAGCAAACTCACTCATCTCAGTAGATCGAACTCATATGGAGTACAGAACAGAAGATTAAGATCTCTCATTTTGGCTATCATTAGGATTTACTGAATTAATTGTCTGATAGACTTTAATCTCACCTCATGGTTGAGGTATTCTCATAATTGTTAGAAACACCTTTGTGTGAGAGTCATGTAGTTCCTTCCCCCTTTTTCCACATTGTTCTCATTTTCTGTTTGCTTCTGTATTCTGGCTGTTCTCCAAATATATTTTAGAAGCTTGATCTACTACAGGAATGTACCATGTTTTGGTTCAGCTAGTACTGCAAGTGCAACAACACTATCAATAGCAGACTGGCTATTTTAGGGAGGCCTCACTGTAAAGAAAAGTTTTGGCCTAAATCAAGATTTTGCTTGTTTCTCCACTCACTGCAATAGGTTTTTTGCTGTCCAGAACAGAACAGTTTTTACTCTTTTAAAGTGTAAGCTGAAGTGCCCTGAACTCACTCTTACTATCAAAAAAGACAAGGGTTTTGCCAAGCACCCATCCTCCATATTGCTGTGAATATTAAGGGAAAGAACATACCCAGAAAAACCAGCCGTCACACAGATGCCTGGCTTTAAGGGCTAAAAAGCACATTGATGTTTTCAAATAAAATCAAAACCAACAGAGAACTTTTTTTGCTATGGAAACTTGTCTGATTACATAAGGCCCACCTTTATGGATGCTCTGGAAAGCTGAACACATTTAAGGTATTTATGAGGAGAAACAAAATTTACTGTATATAATATATAGCTCACAATTTTTCAAGCTTGTGTTGAAGAAAAAGAGGGAAAGAGATTTGGCCTGATCAGTTTCAAATAACATTTGTTTATTTAATCGTGTGTTTGAGAGAGAGAGAGAGAGAATGAGGAGATTGCGTGTGTATGTGTACTCTGTTAGAATATCAACTTAGTAAACTCAAAGCTTGTTTTTCCTAAAAGTATGGCTTCAGAAAAGAAATGTCCTTCAGACCCCAGTTTGACCTAAAAGCTATTTCTGTTTAGATTTTTATATGAGAGCCAATTCTCTTGGCTAAGTGCCAGAGTTGCACCACCCAGGACCCAGAATGAGAGCAGCTCTTGACCATTAACAGTATTACATACATACACAACATGCACTGCAACTTGCAGCAACAAAATGCTTAAATATTATCCATGTCATAATAATGTTTATAACAAGGAGTCAAAATTTTAGACAGAATTCAAATTAAGCTGGGCTAAAATCAGAGCTTGACATGATTTCAGTGGCATATTTTGTATGTAACTTGTTTGTTTGTTCAATCATTCAATTTATATCCTGCTCCCATTAGTGTCGAGGCACTACTCTGGGCGCTTACACACGTATACTAGAGAATAAAAATAAAAGACAAAAACATGAAGAAAACAGTAATCCTAAAAACAGATGGCGCAGACTAAGACCAGAGCAGACGAAGGGAGGATTTTTTAGCATTTTATGCTAAAAATGGTGGAGCTGAATTACTACTTTAGGGATCAAGAGTAGAGTTGTGTTATGAACCAGCTGAAGTACTCAAGGCTCTTGAAGCAGGCTTGAGCCCAAAGGAAGCTATTTCAAGGTGTTTTGAGACATAATAGGTAAAAGTAAAGGTTCCCCTTAGTCCAGTTGTGTCCAATTCTAGGGCATGGTGCTTATCCCTGTTTCCAAGCCATAGAGCCAGCGTTTTTCTGAAGACAGTTTCCATGGTCACGTGACCAGCGCGACTAGACACGGAACACTGTTATCTTCCCACCGAGGAGGTACCTATCTAGTCACATTTTTACATGCTTTCAAACTGCTAGGTTGGCATAGTAGAGTTGAGCAAAATCTGAGGGAGTCCCTAGCTTTAATTTTTCAGATCTTTGGTTTGAACCATAAAGTAATGCAGGAGCATCTGCTTGTACATCTAGGCATAAGCTTTTCCTTCACAGATACTCCTCCAGACCAACAATCAGACAATGTAATCTTTACATAGATAAAATGTCCTCACTACAAGCTAACATTGCATACAATTAAAGGAGGTAGAATGAGACAAGTCCATCACTGGACATACTTTGCAATACAACAGTATCACTCAATAAAGTCTGAATCATATCTGAAAGGCTTGATAGTGTGAACATTTGTGAGAAAATTGAGCCCTAAGGTCATATAGGATGACCTTCAGGAGGGAGGGGCATCAGAACAGTTATTAGCTACATTATCCAAAATTACAAGAACAATCAAGCAGCTCAATGCCAGCACTGTAATCCAAAGCCACTTAAATGCTGACAGAGTCTGGATAAGAGCCAAGTCTTTGGCAAAACAAAAGTAGACATTATCTGAACAACACAGCCGCATTAATCTGTGACTCTCTTCATCATACATTAAATTTACACATAGTAGTCAATGAACTGACAACAGGTCGGGAAACACTGAACAGGATGACACTGCATCTCCATCTAGATGCAACAAACAAACAAATGGAAATACGTTGACTGATAGAGAGCATGAAATTCAGTTCACATTAATTATGGGTCTTGGCAGGGGGGACAGCTCTATCTTCAGATATATGTATACTTTAATGTGGATCCATCCCTCAGCTTATAGCCTTTTGCCATTCTCTTACTGTTTTAGTGATCATACTGGACTTTTACACACTATTCTTTAAAAAAT